ACTCGCATGCTATAATATCCTGCACAGACAACTCACGTGCCACAATATCCTTACCTCACCGATAGGCCCTCGGCCTTACACATTCATCAACCTCTCAAGTCTCTCGGGCTCTCATAAATCACAAAGATCAGCCCAAACAAAGATAACATAGTATATCAGCAAATATCCAGAAAGACTGAGGTATAATACGCAAGAAAAATCATGATTGAGTACAAGATAGTAATTAGCAAATAATTCAACAAGTATGCGACCTCTACGGGTCTCAACACTACTATAACATAGCTTAAGAATGATTTGTAACATGATTTATAGTCAAAATTTCTTCAACACATAGAGATCATATAGCTAACAATAAATTATCCAACTTTACAGTTTCTCGGGACGGACCAAGTCACAATCCCCTTGGTGCACGCCCATACGCCCGTCACCTAGCATGTGCGCCACCTCCAAAATAATCACATGATACCAAAATCCGGGGTTTCATACCCTTAGGACCAGATTTATAATTGTTACATACCTCAACCCGTGTAATTATTTATTCCGCTATCCCCTTTCCACGAGAATTGGTCTCCAAAAGTCTCGTATCTAGCCACAATTAATTTGATTCAGTCAATACAAATTATTATAATTAATTCCATAAAGAAATACTAATTATTTTTCAATAAAATCCGAAATTAACTCAAATATTGTCCGTAGGGCCCACGTCTTGGAACCCGACAAAATATACATAATATGAACGCCCATCCAACCACGAGTCCAGCCATATAAATTTCACCAAAACCCGACATCAACTCGACCCTCAAATCTTCGATTAAAGTCTATGAAGATTTCTTCCATTTTCAACCCAATCCTTACACATTTGAACTTAACAATCCTTCCACAACCTTATTGGTATGTATACATAATACTCTTACACCCAAGAATCATACTATTAATCACCCATCTTTACTCCAAACCCGAAATTGAATAATTGAGGAAAGAGATTCTTACCTCTCTGAAGCCCTAGCAAGATCATTATGAAATCTTCAAACCTTGAACAAGAATTGATGGATAAATGACTAAGTCTTCACTTTCTCTCTCTAAAATACTCTCACCTCTCTCTAAAATATCAGAAGAAAACCCTTCAAAATGACCCCAATAGTGTTTAATAAGAAAGGGGTCGGGTTTATAAAATCAGAAAAATGAAGCTTCGGAACAGGTTCTGCGGTCACATATGCGACCGCATAATGGTTATGTGGACCGCATATCGGTCGCATAATCGGTGTCCAATACTGGCAAACATCTGTCTGTGTATGTGGTCATTATACGGCCCGCATACCTGTTCTGCGGTCGCATAGTGACCGCAGAACAGTTATGCAGTCGCATAGTCGACCTCAAATTTCACCCAAACTGGCCCTCTTCTGCCTCACTTCTATGGCCATTATGCGGCCCGCAGAGTGATTATGCGGTAGCATAATGGACCGCATAAACGTATTTTTTCGTCAAAAATTTTCCTTTACTTCCCGGTGCATTGTTCAACCCAACATCCGGTTGGCAACCTTTGTACTAATTGATTTACCTCGACACCACAAAAAAAAAACTTGATTTCCTTAGCAAAAGTTCTCTGGATCACTACACATACATCAACATCCGGTCAACCTTTTCAACTAAATTTCGAAACCTTGGAACTAGGTGTTCTAAATCATTCAAAAACCTCACCGGACCCTAACCAATTACCCCTGGCAAGTCACATAACAAATGTAGCGCATCAATTGAGAAAAAATAATAGGGAAACGGGGCTATAATACTCAAAACGACCGGTCGGGTCGTTACAGTTGGAAGTGTTCAACTAAGTAATCACCAAATTGAATGCTTTGGAAATGTTGGTTAAGGAAGACGATGAATAGTAATTTGGCGATGTTGGAGAATTAATATAGTATCATTGATGACTTCAAATGGGTATTAAATGATAAGAGTGGAGTTGAATGTGCTAGTAAGTGGACCTAATAGACAATTTGAGCTGGAGGCTTGTAGCCAACTTGTGAGCCATAAATTGATATTGATAAATACTTTTGAGTTATATTTTGATTGTAATTGTAGATATCAATTTGTTGGTGGCGTATAAGCATTTTACTAAATGTTACGATGTCGGAGGAGGATTAAAAGCTTGTGTATGTTAATAAAGCGAAAGCGAGTTTTGTAGCGTTGGGCATCGGTCAAGTTGTTTGAAAGGCTTGGGAGCCGGCTATGGCGGAGCGAGGTAAGTCTCTTGTCTAACCTTGTAAGAGAAAATTTACCCCTAGGTGATTTAAATTAACAATTATTGCTAATTGTGGGGGTTACGTACGCATGAGGTGACGAGAATCCGTGCGTGGCTACTAATATTGCTAAGCCCAGGTAGTTTAGGACTCAAATCATGAATTACTTGTGATAATTGCATCTTTCAGTTAATTGAAATATTGGAATTTTTGTTGTAAATTGTTAGAGGAAATAATAAGAGACTGAAATTTTACATACTTTAATTTTTGCTCAAATTATTTAACTGTTGCTATAAAATATATATCCTGGTGTGTAAATCTTAATAAATATAAACATATTCTTATTTCGGAGGTACATAAGAAAATGTCCTCCTTTCTTGTGGAGGAGGACGAACACCTTGGCAGTATAGATGCATCTATGGATTGCGTCGCACGTCCCTCGGCAGTGTACACGACACTCTAGATCGGGCCGAACGACCTCGGCAGACATCATGCCTAATAATAATAATTACATGATACTTTGCTATTTATTGCAGCTTGTGAAATTAATTAATAAATTAGAAACGGTCGCATTTGAAGGAATTTAATTATTTCTGCTGGTTGAAGAAAATTATTGTTAATCCTATAAATCATGTTGATTTAATATTTCTATTTTTAATACTATTAACCCTTAGTGAGTGTCAAAGTCGACTTCTCGTCACTACTTCTTCGAGATTAGGCTTGATACTTACTGGGTACACGTTGTTTATGTACTCATACTACACTTACTGCACATTTTTGTGCAGGTATGTATATGTCTAGCGGCCTTGTGGGCACAGAGGTGTAGTTATTGCGGAGACTTAGGTGAGCTACATTTTATATTATGATCCGCAGCCAGTAGAGTCTCCTTCAGAGTTATTTATATTTTTCCTGTCTAATTTGTATTCCGGACAGTTGCTGTATTTTATTTTATATTCCTAGTAAATGCTCATGCACTTGTGATACTGGATTTTGGGAGGATTATGGGTTATTCTGTATTGAATTTGTTAAAAGTATTATTATTTACTCTGTAAATCCACATTCTTTACTATGTATATTAAAGAAAAATATGATTTCAAAAGTAATAAAAATGAGAACCCAATTTAGTATTTATTGTTGGCTTGCCTGACAGTGGTGTTCGGCGCCATCACGACCTTAATGGATTTTGGGTCGTGACAACCCAAGTCCAAAATTATCATATGAACCTGTTGGAACCTTCCAATCCCGATTTCGAGGTCGTTCACTCAAAAATCAAACCTTAGTCAATTCTTCCAACTTAAAGTTTTTGAAATGAGATTTTTCTTTCCAAATCAACTCTGAACTTCCCAAAATTCAATTCCGACCGCGGGCACAAGTCATAATATCTGAAGTGAAACTACTCAAGGTCTCAAACCGTCGAACGATACGCTAGGGCTCAAAACGACTGGTCGGGTCATTACAAAATCCATCTGTAGGTCTCTACTACTTTGAATTAGTTTCTTTTATGTTTGGTCATATTAACTAATCTAAGATGCCTTTACCAAGAATAGAATTTTGTGACTTTTTAATTTAATATAACAATGAAATGCATGCGATTTCATTTAGTTACATAGTTTTTGTAAATTAACAAATTGCTTAGCTTATCTCATTGCATAGAGCAAGACTGAACTATTTTCAAATTTTCTTAACCTAAATAGATTAAAAAAAAATATGTGATATATTTTTCTCTCACTTCAGGAATATACTAGATGAAATTCACTTCGCCTAATATGCAATGAGATGTATCCATTTTACCAAATCATTTTAGGTAGATCTTTAGGATGGGAGCATTTATGCAATATGCCATATTAGATACATCGGAAGAAAGAAATATTATTTGGAAAAGCCATACAATATATTAACTACCTGTAACAAATGAAAAAATGAAAATTAGGTTAAAATGTGGGTCAGTTTTTATTAGTTTAAATGTAAAAAGTGGGTTAAAATGTGAAATAAAAAATTATCAGTGCATCAAAAGGTTGGTTTCCCAGCATTGTGATTTCTGTGTTAGTATGATGGATGTCGTCTTATAATATTTCTGTTATAAAATAAAAATATGTGACTTTGGTGAAGAAAATATAGTTATATGACCTTCTATAAAATTTACCCGATAAAAATTCTAAAATTATATTTAAATGCCCAATTTGTTGAATGTTTGGCGGGTTACAAAGTTTTGGGCTACTTTTGCTAGTCCTAAATCAAAGCATACCTGCTAGTCTTGTTTTCTATTCAATCCTAAATGACATAGTAGGTACAAACTTAGGAAAATGACTGGTGCACTAAGTTCTCGTTATGTACGAGGTCTGAGAAGGGCCAAACTTACATTTTCATATATTTCTACTTTTGATTTCTTTCCGAAAGCTCACGTGTGGAGTATTGCTACCCCATTTTTTTTAACCTTTGTAATAAATAAAAAATTACTTAAGGTACTGTTCCAGCTATTATGTCGGATTTGTATTTGGATATTTGAAAGGCAGTCAGAGTTCTTTTTTATCTCGCAGTTTGATATGGTATGAACTTACATGTGATTCCTTTTGCTATGAGCTGAATTCTTTCTCGGGTAGTATCTAAAACCTAAGATAGGGTGGCAATGTAACCAATTGCTATAAATATTTAAGTGTTTCTTACTTAAACGAGCTTGAGTATGACATCGAAAGATACATAAGGAATAAAGATAAAAATAAACACTAGTACAAGTACGACCAACACTTACTTTTTTCATTTATTTATAAACGAGACCATGATACAAACAAGGGTAGGTTAAATGGAAATCATTTTCTAATACTAGGCTTAACTAGAAAAACATAGTACATTGTCATTAATTTATTTGTTAGAACCAGGTCCCCCAAAAAAGACCGTATGCCCGAAAGACTTATTGGTAATTGGTTCATCAAGAACCCGGTAGAGTGTGTGAGCATCTTCAAACACGGATATCAGAGCCCCGGGATCCTGAGTTTTGCCAGCAAAATCCAAAATTGAAATTTTACTACAATATGCATCTTTATCAGTATTTACACGTCCAGGAAAATGACCAGAACCCATTGGAGGGAAAGTAGGGACTGAACTAAATGCCTCTCCACCCCATGCAGCATGTGACGCAAAACCCTTTAATCCCGTGAAAAGCTCTGGAGGCCAGAAACCTATTTGTTTGAAATCATGACCAACACGCAGTCACCATCTTTCATTCTTCAGATCTTGCGTTGGATACACACACACACACACACACACACACACACACACACACACACACATATATATATATATATATATATATATATATATATACACACCGTATGCCCAAAAGCCTTATTGGTAATTGGCTCATCAATAACCCGGTAGAGTGTGTAAGCATCTTCAAACTCGGATACTAGAGCCCCGGGATCCTGAGTTTTGCCAGCAAAATTCAGAACTGAAATTTTGCTACAATATGCATCTTTATCAGTATTTACACGTCTAGGAAAATGACCAGAATCCATTGGAGGAAAAGTAGGGACTAAACTAAATGCCTCTCCACCCCATGCCGCATGTGATGCAAACTAAATGTTCACAGCAGAATAAGTAACAAGATATGCTCACATTGGTTGATAATAAAAATATTCCTTTTTTGAAAATAATTGCAAGTTCTTAACGAGGTATTGACGTACATATGTACCACAAATCCAAAATCATAGAAAGAGCTCCAGTAAAGATGATAAGTGATGACAATAGTGAAGTTACCACTTGAAACATGTTTAATTTGTTGTTCTTGTATATAATTATTTCAATTCCCATCTTAGTAAACTAGGATAAACAAAAACAATTTACAAAGGAAGCTTACGTGAAAGATGCCACCAGCATAACTAGCATTAAATCTTCTTTCTCTACTGAGATCTTCTTTGTTAGTTCTTCTAATAGGAACTGTTCCCATTGGACAACCTCCATCTCTCAGCACGATTTTGGAGGATCTATTGGATGTTTCGGATTCTTTGTCTCTCTTTAATAGGGAGAAAGACGGTTTCATCTGCATGCATCATGTACAAAATTTCAAGAATGAGAGTCATTCTTACTTTCACAATACAAGTACTACAGTAATAGTAAATAAGGATGTATATACCAAATAGACATACTTGAGGATGATAAGTATGATTTTTCAAATAGAAATTCACATAGTCATAAATATCTTCATATTCGGTCTACAAAACAATAGATCTTATTACTGATTTTAAGTATAGATATTTATGGGTAACATCTTTTTTAGCTCCATGAAAAATGACATATATAATTGAAAATAAAACAGATAGATCAATTATTTCGAGAATGGACCAAAACAAAGAATAAGAATCTACTTTAATAGTTTTGACTGATGGCTTATTTAAAAGCTTTAATTGCCTCTCCAATTCTTCATGGTCCTTCTTTGAAAAGCCCTCAACTTCATCATGGTTGAGAAAAACCATAATTGCAATCAAAAGTTGTACAACGCTTAGATGCATTCTTGTGATTTTCATCCTATAATAATTTTAAAATAAATTATTAGATACAAATAATAACATAAAATTAAACATAAAAGCTAATAAGAGGAATGAAAAATTATGACTTCTGTGCAAATGGCACATGATAATCCATCATATCAGGGATGAAGATTAAGAAATAAGAGATGAAGTACCTGATTTTTTTTTTTTATGGACAGGGATAGTGAATGGTCCTACAAGAATAACACACTTTATATAGGAATCATCGGGCATTTCATACTCCCGTAATTTTATGTTTGCATTGATTTACTTTTATTCGATTGATTCTTACAATCATTCTGTCCATAAATTAACAGATATGTGATTTTCTCCCTAATTTCTTACATATTTATGACAATTATGGCTAACAAAAATCACCTACTCAATATTTGATATCGAACATTTAAATTGAATCTGCAAAATCTTATTCTTTTAAATGTCAATTATAGATACCTTCCTTGAGTTAACTATAGGCTAAACGCATATGTCTGGTGGTTCTAACTCTATAATAAAATTATACTCCGTAGTACTATGTAATTAACGTTGACACTTGATGCTGATTACGTTTATATTACATCATTGGCTAATATCAATTTTTAATAACTTATAAGATCATGATGTTGATACTATCGTATAATATTATATTCTGCAACTGCAAAGATAAGAGGAAGAAAATCATAACGAGTAAAAGGACAACAAAATAAACCAGGAAAAAAAAGTTGGATGGGAATGAATGTAATATTTAGCTTGTCTTTTATTGTTTATTTTGGTACTCCTTTTATTTCAGATACTATTAATCTTTATGAGTGCACGCGAAAATCAAAAGAAATTAAATTGGAATTGTAGAATTAATTCGTCACCTAGTAATACCGAAAAATATGGTACACCACGCTTATTCATTTTTTAATTTTGTAGTATTTATTTTTTATATAACTTTTAATCATTGTCAGCGTACAAAATTAACGGGGATTGGAGAAGTTGAATGATACTTTAAGATTGAATTCATAATCATGTAGAAAAGAATAAAAAAGATGGTAGCAAGGTCATTTTAGTTCTTCCAAATTGTTGTGTTCTTGTTACTTCGTGCCAAAGAATCAGAATGATTCCAAAATATTCATTATTTTATTTTATTTTTTGCATTGATTTCCTTTCACTTTGTCAGATTGACTCTTCTTACCATTCCATCCTTAAATTAATAAATATTATTCTTATATTTTGAAAAAATTAAATCTTTCATACTATATCTATTTTAGATATCTGGGTTCTTAATTATTCTTCCTCTTTTAGAGGAGTTAAAATCTTATTCTTATGAGTAACTTATGTTAATATATTTTCTGGATATTTTCGAGTAGTTGATGTATGCTATATCATTTAATAAAATAAAAGATTAGAGATCTCAAACGTAACCTTCTCATTCAGAAAACATGGCAATTCAGATACGTTGACAAAGAAAAAAGAACAAAAATCATATCAGCATTTATAGATACTTATATCAAGTGTTATCTCCTTATGATTCGAAATATCACGCACCCTTCTTAGTTTAGTTTTTCTTTTTATGTCAAATATTATAACCTACTCCTCAACCAATCAATAAATCGGCAATCATATATCAACTTGATTTTTTTTTCTTTTTTCTTAGATCTATAGGACCTTTACTGTGATGACCCAAAATACCATCTTTAAATTTAATGATTAATTATGTGATCTAAGCACTATTTACCATTACTCGACTTGCGTGTGCAGTCCGTAAAAATATTTCGGAAAGTTTTCAGGTGAAAAATGGATTAAAATATGAATTAGATGTTTAAAACACAACTGAGTTGACTTTGGTCAATATTTTAAGTAAACGGATTCAGATCAGTATTTTGACTGTTCCGGTAGGTCTGTATCGTGAATTGGGACTTGGGCGTATACCCGGAATCAAATTCCGAGGTCCCTAGCCCGAGATATAGAATTTTGATAAAAAATTTAAAGTTTAAGTTCAAATAGTGACCGGATGTCGAATTATATGCAAATGACCCCGGAATAGAATTTTGATGATTTCAACAGCTCCGTATGGTAATTTTAGACTTAGGAGCGTGATCAGAATTTTATTTGAAAGTCCGTAGTGGAATTAGGCTTGAAATGCCGAAAGTTGAATTTTTTGGAAGTTTGACCGAGTGGTTGACTTTTTGATATCGGGGTCAAAATCCGATTCTGAAAATTTTTATAGCTCAGTTATGTCATTTATGACTTGCGTGCAAAATTTGAGGTCAATCGGACTTGATTTGATAGGTTCCGGTGTTGTTTGTAGAAATTAAAAGTTTCAAAGTTCATTAGGCTTGAATCGATGTGTGATTTGTGATTTTAGCGTTGTTTGATGTGATTTGAGGTTTCAAATAAGTTTGTATGATATTTTAGGACTTGTTGGTATATTGGGTTGAGGTCCCGAGGGCCTCGGGTGAGTTTTGGATGGTTAACGGATCAAAAATGGGACTTAAACAGCTGCTGCAAAAGCTACTGCAAATTCTCTTCTGTTGTGCAATCGAGCCCCCAGAAATCGAGCCGAGGATCGATGGCAGGCTCGAGATCCATGATCGAAGGCAAGCTCGAAGGCCAGTGATGGAAGGCCACTGATCGAAGGCCCAGAATCGAGGGCTATGACCAAGGGCAGTGATCGAAGGCCATAAATATCGAAGACATGATCGATAGCCAGGATTGATGGTTGTGATCGAGCCCCAGGGTCGAGGGCTATGATCGAAGCTATGATCGAAGGCCATGACCGAGGTCCATGATCGAGGACCATGATCGGACCCCATGATCGGACTCCCCTTAATCGGACTCCCCATGATCGGACTCCCCATGATTGGACTCCCATGATCGAGGTCCATGATCAGACTCTCATGATCGAGGTCCAGGATCGGACTCCACGATCGAGGTCAGCCGGGACAGATCCGTAAGTTATAAAAACTGGGGGGCTTCGTCCCATTCGCCATTTTTAACAACTTGGAGCTTGAGCAGAGGTGATTTTTGATATATCTTCAAGGAAAAATATTGGGGTAAGTGTTCTTAACTCAATCTTGGTTAGATTACCCGAATCCATCACTGTTTTTAACATTTAATTGATAATTTAAGTTGGAAAAATTTGAAACCCTCTTGGTTAGATTTGTGGATTTGAGGGTCGTTATTGGAATTTAGTCATTTTGGTATGGTTAGACTCGTGGTTGAATGGGCATTCATATTTCGTAACTTTTGACGTATTTCGAGACATGGGCCCCACAGGCCATTTTTGAGTTAATTTCGGATTTTTATTGAAACAAATGTAGTATTTTCGTATAGAATTAATTCTATAATTTTTGTTGACTGTATCGAATTAATTATGACTAGATACGAGTTGATCGGAGTCAGAAAATCGAGGAAAAAGTATAATACTTGATTAAATTGGAGCAAGTCGAGGTAATTGACTTGTCTAACCTTGTGTGGGGGAAATTTTCCCTAGAATTGATATTAATGTGATTTTTGAAATGTGTTGAAAGTCGTGTACACGAAGTGACGAGTGTGTACACGGGCTAAATGTGAAAGATTATATTTTTAAATTGTGTAGATCATTGTTGCGTAGTTATTAAATTATTTTATCTTGGTATATTCTTCATCATCGATCTGTGATATATATTATAAATTTGTTTACATTTTTGCCTGCTAATTGTTTTACCTGTTTAATTGAAACTTGGTTTCTTTTATACTGTGCATTATTGAAGGTTGATTTTCTTTAAATTAAATATTATTAATATGAAGTATTTGACATTTTTAAATTTGATATTTAAGTAACGTATTAAAAGTTTGAAATATTATTTTTCTGAATTATTTATTCTTGAATATTTTCGTAAGATTTTTTTTGGATTACTCTGGCCTGAGCCGTGAGCTCTTTATTATTGAAATATATTGTTGTTGATTCTTTTGTGGAAAATTGAAATATTGGGCACTTGAGGTGCAAATTGTGATATATTGTAATATTTATACGCATGCGGTGGTATAAGGTCTAGGTGTTGAAACGCATGCGGTGAGATAAGGGTAGCTTGATACGCGTGGCTAGTAGGGGTGACTACTAGAAGTCATGCGGTGTGATAAGGGTGGCTAAAACGCGGGATGCTATTTCGGAAAAAAAATGCTTTCTTCAAATAAATTGTGAAGGCTCCCGCGGTGGTATAAGGAAATGAGATATTATGAAATTATTTATAATTTAGAATTACGAGGCGGTACCTCGGTAGTGCTCTTGTTGATATTGATTTATGGCCATAGTTGCTTTCGATTAATTATTGTGATTTTCATAAAGTTGAAGAAAATTCTGTTTTGATTCCACGAGATATTATTTGCAATTATTTGGTGTCATTAAATGTGACATACTATTTGATTCATTTCCAATGTTATTTTATTTTACTACATTGATAAACATTTTACCATGTTATTATTTTATTCCAGTAGGGCCTCACCTGACCTCGTCACTACTCTACCGAGATTAGGCTTGGCACTTACTGGGTACTGCTGTGGTGTACTCATACTACGCTTCTGCACACCTTTTTATGCAGATCCAGGTATATTTTACCAGCCTATACATCAGTGAGTTACCTGTGCACGGAGACTTCGAGGTATATCTGCCAGCGTCCGCAGACTCCGGAGTCCCCTTCTATCATTTTATGTTGCTTTCTTATATTTTATTTAGACCTTGACTTATAGAGACATTGAGAA